GGCAAACCTCTCAGGTCCAGCCGCAGTGGCCTCCTTGTGCTTCCTCCAACATGCCAGGTGCGCCCCAGCCTCAGGTCTTCACACTCCTGCTCCCTCTGCTTAGAGCTCTCTTCTCCCAATTAATCTCATGGCTTGCCCCTCTCTCCTTCAAGTCCTTATGCATATATCACCTCCCGCAGGAGCTCTTTGTTAACCACTGTATTTAGAATTTCAACCTTCACCCTGACACTCTCAACTCCCTTCATGGTTTCAGTTGTCTGTATGCACTGTATCTGACATACTGCATATTTTACTTATTTATTTGGTTGTTTGTCTGTCTCCCTTACTAAGATGTAACCTTCATGAAGACAAGAATTTTCATCTGTTTGCTCACTACATTAGACCAGCACTTTTGGAATATTGTATACATGGACATAGTAGGTGTTTGATAAAAATTTGTTTACTAAACAAATGAGAGATTAAAATAAATACATTTTCTGCCTACTCCCCCCCCCCATATGGGTAGAAACCCCATTATCATTTCATTTGAGAAGTGGAATATCTTAGTCCAGCTCATGAAATGTCTATGTTCTAGGGAAAGCACAGGTTGAAGCCTCCAGCACCCAATATCAAGTTTTCTCTCAAAGGAGTCTCACAAACTAAAAAAACTCTACCTGGAAAATAAAAGCCATTTTCATCACATCTTGCAATAACCTTCTGGCCTTTGAGGTGGTCTGGTTTTTTGGATTTGATTTTCTTTGTTGAATTTCCTTGCAATTTCTGCTGCTGAAAAGACAAAACAGTAATGATTCATGAAAAAAGTCAATGCAGATAGTAAAAACAGTTAAGTACTGGGTAGTCTGGGATTCTCTCCTAAGAATCACTCTATTAAAGCATTACAGAACACACTTATACTATATACTCANTGTGCCTTGGCCTCTGTGTGCATCTCAAATGCTCGGGTCCATACTGACTCTCATCCAGGCAACTCCCAAGTACATTTACCAATTTTCAAGTAAGATGTCCCAGTTGTCTGTTCTACATATATACCTGCTAGAAACCAAACATCCACTGAAGTATTTTTTTTCCTACCTGAATACATTATTTAGTTAAATTTAATTAATAATTATTATTTTAACTGGTGATTGATAGATAATGCCTATGCGAAGTAAGCTATGTTTCTGTAGTATGATCTTTTTGCCTGAAAGAGCTTCCTCAAGGTTCTCTCCTAGTTTCTCTTTTCTCTATAGACCTTTCTCATGATTTCGCTGATGACTTTTGTGTTGACATTTGCAAAATCTGTATCTCCAGATAGACTTTCTCTCCAAACTCTAGACTCTTATCACCAAGTGCTTCTCTGACATCTTCAGTTGGGCATGTCATAGGCACCTACAACTCATCACGTCCCAGATCCATCTCATCGTCTTCCTGTCCACACCACCATCTGCTGTAGGCACCACTCTCTACCTAATGGCCCAAGCCAGGGACCCGAGTGACCTCCCAACCCAGTTAGTATCCATTCTTTACACTGCAATGGGAGGGATCTTTTAAAAATATCCAGTGTGATTGTGTTTCTTCCTGCATTTTTATTCTGTTTTTTGTTTGTTTGTTTGTTTTGGCGGCTGAACGTACAGGGATCCGAACCCTTGACCTTCATGTTACCATCAGCACACTCCCAAGTCTCTCTGCTTTAAATGTGGCTCCCCAATGCCTGCAGAGTAAAGTTCAAGCTCTTTAACATAACCCTTTATGAATGGCTCCATGCTTACCTCTCTGAGGAGCTTTATTATTTTCTACCCTTCCTTTGCATTCTAGGTTCTGGCCATAATCAATTTTATTTCTCCAGAAATAGAATGTTTTTCTTTGCTTCTAGACATTCACACATATTATTGTCATTATCCACAAAGCCCCCTTTATACCTCCACCCCCTGCTGCACTTTACGTGGCTGATTCTTTCAGGAATCACATCGCCCAGGAAGTCTTGGGCAAACCTCTCAGGTCCAGCCGCAGTGGCCTCCTTGTGCTTCCTCCAACATGCCAGGTGC